ATAGTTGGATCAAGTATAATGATATCTGACAGTGATTAAAATCACTATCAAAAAAAAACGCTTCGATGCAAATCTTTAGATAGTGTTTAATTTTAAAAAATTGGTGGATTATTCCAAAAGCTTCATAAACTGCTAGTTCCTTATTAATATCCTGATTAAGACAAAGTATGTAGAATAAAAAAGAGATTATTAGAAAATAGTATTTCCCATAAAAAAATTATATTGATCAATACACTTTTCAATAAGTTATAGCATTATAATGTTAAAAATGTAAAAAATAAAATTGAGAATTTTCACACAATAATAGCATTTGGTAGCCATTTTCACCTTGAAGATAAAATAAAGTCCGAAATTTTTTTTTTCCATGATAAAGTATATTACATTAGCTTTAATTTAAGATATATATAAAAGTGTCAGACTTTCCGGAACACTTTCAAAATTTAAGTTGAAAAAGTCAATTTTTTGTGAAAAAGTTGTCATTTTGAATCCCCCCCTGTAGGCAGGTAAAAAGTCAGATTTATAAAAAAAATATACCAAATGATAGGTAAAGACATCATGCATCTACAAAAAAAAGAATTATATTGATCCATACATCTTTCGAGAAGTTATAGCATTATAAAGTTAAAAATATAAAAAAGAATTTTTTTACAAAAATCGTATTTTTTTTATTAAGTTTAATGTCTGTTTTCACCATGAAGATAAAATAAAGTCCGAAATTTTTTTTTACCATTATAAAGTATATTACATTAGCTTTAATTTAAGATATATATAAAAGTGTCAGACCTTCCGGAACACTTTCAAAAGTTACGTTGAAAAAGTTCTACTTTCTATATATTAAGTTTTGTTTTGAATCCCCCCTGTATTTAGGGAAATGGTCCGATTTAAAAAATGAGTATGTCGAATGAAAGATCTATATAAATACTACTTCTCATAAAAAAATTGTAATGATCCATACATTTTTCAAAAAGTTAAGATAAAGTCCGAAATTTTTTTTTTTCATGATAAAGCATATTACATTAGCTTTAATTTAAGATATATATAAAAGTGTCAGACCTTCCGGAACACTTTCAAAAGTTAAGTTGAAAAAGTTCTACTTTCTATATGCATTTTTAAGTTTTGAATCCCCCCTGTATTTAGGGAAATGGTCCGATTTAAAAAAACAGTATGTCGAATGAAAGATCTATATAAATACTACTTCTCATAAAAAAATTGTAATGATTCATACATTTTTCAAAAAGTTATAGCATAATAAAGTTAAAAATGGAAAATACAAAATCGAAAATTTTCACACAAAAATAGCATTCGGTAGCCATTTTCACCATGAAGATAAGATAAAGTCCGAAATTTTTTTTTTTCATGATAAAGCATATTACATTAGCTTTAATTTAAGATATATATAAAAGTGTCAGACCTTCCGGAACATTTTCAAAATTTAAGTTAAAAAAATTAATTTTTTGTGAAAAAGTTGTCATTTTAAATCCCCCCTTGTGGGCAGGTTAAGGGTTAAATTTATGAAAAAAATATACCAAATGAAAGGTAATGATATTATGCATCTATATAAAAAGAATTATATTTGATATGTTTATTTTTGAAAAAGTTATGGCACTTTTAAGTAAAAAAAATGGAAAAAATTTCGAAAATTAGCGATTTTAAAATTTGTAATTTTTTTGTAGGTTTCCCCCTTTTACGGGGAACGAGGGAATTTTTTTCAATTTTTAAGGGTAATGTCTACCATGATGTGTTTATTTTTTTTTTATTTTTATTTATTTATTTTTTTTTTTGTGTCTGTCACTACTTTTTCTCAGCTCTCACTGGACCGATTTCTTTTAAAAATACGTCAAAAGATCACAAATCGTATCTAGTTGAAGACATTACCCTTAAAAATTGAAAAAAATTCCCTCGTTCCCCGTAAAAGGGGGAAACCTCCAAAAAAATTACNTTATGTCATTTTTTTCACTTTTTTTTCTTAAAACTTCCATAACTTTTTCAAAAATCAACTAATCAACATAATTTTTTTTTATTCTAAAACCTTAGATATTTTCCTTTTATTTGATATCATTTTTTTGAAAATCGAACACTTAACCTGCTCATGGGGGGGGATTTAAAATTGCAATTTTTTTACAAAAATTAACTTTTTCAACTTAATTTTTGAAAATGTTCCGGAAATACTGCATCCTTTAAACATATATCAAATTAAAGCTTATTTTATGTACTATAAAATGAAAAAAAAAAATTTGTCCTGACACTTTTTCTTCTACATTTAAACGACTGCCGTAGTTAAAAAAAAACACTATTTTTGTGTTAAAATTTTCGATTTTAAATTTTCAACTTAAAAATACTAAAACTTTTTGAAAAATGTATATATCAGCACAAATTTTTTTTTTCTAAATACATTATAAGTACATCTTTCATTTGACATACTTTTTATTAAAATTGGACAATTTCCCCATATATAGAGGGCGTTCAAAACTTGAAACATTGTATAAAAAATATAACTTTTTCAACTTAACTTTTGAAAGTGTTTCGGAAATACTGCGTCCTTTAAACATATATCAAATCAAAGGTTATGTTATATACTATCAAATGAAAATAAAAATTTGTCCCGACACCTTATCTTCTATGCGCAAATGGCTACCATATTCAAAAATATGCTATTTTAACAAATTTTTTTTTTTAATTAAACACTATCTACAGATTTGCATCGAAGCGTTTTTTATGATAGTGATTTTAATCACTGTCATATATCATCTATACTGGACCCAACTATGCCACGACCTCTGACTGTGCCGCCACCTCACTGTTCTGGGTTTTTTTTTTAACTGTGCTGACTGTTTTCACCATGAAAACAAAATAAAGTCCGAAATTTTTTTTTTCCATAATAAAGTATATTACATTAGCTTTAATTTAAGATATATATATAAGTGTCAGTATTTCCGGAACACTCAAAAGTTAAATTGAAAAAGTTAATTTTTCTTGAAAAAGTTGTCATTTTGAATCCTTCCATGTGGGCTGGTAAAGGGTTAAATTTATAAAAAAAAATATACCAAATGATAGGTAAAGACATCAAGTAACTATGAAAAAAAATTATTTTGTTATGTTCATTTTTGAAAAAGTTATGGCAGTTTTAAGTAAAAAAAAATTCAAAAATTAGCGATTTTTAAATTTGTAATTTTTTTGGATATTTCCCCCATTTGCGGGGANGCGATTTTTAAATTTGTAATTTTTTTGGAGGTTTCCCCCATTTATGGGGAACGAGGGAAATTTTTTTCAATTTTTGAGGGTAATGTCTTCGACTAGATACGATTTATGATCTTTTGACGTATCATTGAAAGAAATCGGTTCGGTGAGAGCTGAGAAAAAGTGGTAACATACACAAAAAAAAACACATCATAGTAAATTTAATACCTTCTCATCTTCGCATCGAATCTAAAAAAAAATGTATTGATCAGTATATTTTTAAAAACTTTTATAACAATATAAAGTCAAAAATATACTATATAAAATCAAGATGTTTAATAGTATATTCAAAAATAGTATGTATTTTTAACTACGGCGGTAATTTGAACAGAGAAGGCAAAGCAACAGGACACATTTTTCTTTTAAATTCTAGTATGTATTATAAGCTTTAATGTAACATGTTTAAAAAATGCAGTAATTCCGTAACATTTTTAAAAATTAAACTGAAAAGGTAAACTTTTCGTGAAAAAGTAACTATTTTTGATCCGCCTTGTGAGCAGATAAATGGTCAGTTTCCCTAAAAATATATCTAATAAAAAGGACATACTTAAAATATTTATTAAAAAAAATGTTTGATTAATACTTTCTAAAAAAATAACCAAGAAAGTTTTAAAAATATGTAAATGCCCCAATTATAAAAATTGTGAATATTTTGGTGATATACCCCATTACGGTGAATAAGATATATTTTTTCAGATTTTAAGGATAGTAAATCGAAACAGTGAATGCTGAAAAAAGTGGCAACAGACACAAAAGTAATCAAATCATAATTAAATGAATACCTGTTCAGCTTTGCATTGAAACTAAAATTGTATTGTATTAATGTAAAATCGCACATACGTGTAAATTTGACATATAATTGATTTTTGAAACAAATTTCATTTAGTTTAATTCGAAAATCTAATTGAAAATTGAAAAAAATCGTAATAACACTTATTGGCAGACCTGTAAAGTACTAATGTAAGAGTATTCGAATCCTTTTTTTTATTTTAAAAAATTTTGCTATGGTATTTTAAGTATTACTTAAAATACATTTATAAATTATATGTACTGAAAACAACTTTTTAAATATTATTTAAGTGCACAATTAGTATTTTGTAATAAGGTATTTTTAATTTTCAAAATACCAAAAAAATTAATAATAAATTATTATTATATTCATGGAGGTGAAGCGCGCATTTGTTTATTTTTACCTATAGGCCATTATGAATTGCACTACATAGTACCATAGTACAAAAGAGCTGATATCTTTTAAAATACTTATCAAAAAGATGTATTCACTATTTATATACTTTACTGATAAATTATTTTATAGTTTTGTAAGTTGGTTAAATATATATATGATTCCTTCCACTTAAAAAACTTAAGTTGATAACATTTCTAAGGAATAAGAGAAGAAATATGACCAAATTATTTTCCATATATTATAAAACGTAGGATACTATTAACTTTCTAAAAGAAAATATTATATTATGTTTCATATTTTTAAATATATTGTATGAGTCATAGTTAAGCCTGTATATGTAAATAGTTGAAAGTATTTTAAATACTTTTATAAAGTATCTGAGTTTTTATACACGTATTTAACGGATATACAAATACGTATTCTAAATATTTTTTCATATTGTAGCTAAATCTGTATTTAAAATATATTTTCAATGTATCATTTACAGGTCTGCTCATAGAATACTTAATAAAAATTAATTTGTTAATTTTTACTTGTTGTAATATTTGATAATTTGAATTAATATAAGGCCGTTTTAATAGCGACTCAATTCGTAAATGATCTAAGTCACCCATTGGAATACACGATAAATTTAAAGATGTAATATCCATTGGATGAACTCCTAACCATTTTATAGAAGGTACAGATAACATATCATTTTGGTGACACATACTCTGTAAAATTTGCAAAAAAAAACATGTTATGAAATGAATAAATAAGCAAATAGTAAAACCTTACATTTGATCCAAACCTATAGATACACATTATTTCAATACCAAATGGATTAGCATCAACCAGAGCTAATATTGGTAAATTTATATTAATAGAAAGAATTTTCACAAATAATCTTGTATTTATATCCGGGTAACCTTTTCCCTAATAACGTAGATCAAATTAATATAATAAAAAATATACATACAGGTAAATTTAACGCTTCGATGCAAATTTGTAGATGGTATTTAATTTATAATTTATTGTTGGATTATTTTAAAAGCAACATTAACTCCTATTTCCTAATTATGTCCTGATAACAAGTTTTATGATTTACTATTTACATATTAATAATAGCTGCAAAAATTCTCTCAACAAGTATTTCTAACTAAAACTTAAATTATTTTATAAAAAGGGGCTAAATAGGGATTTTTACCCTTCCTCCTATTTGACTATACTGTTTTATCAGGCATAAATAATTGACTAAGAAATTGATATAGAAAATTATAATAATATGAAAACATGGTCATTTTTTTTACAAAAAACTAGTATTTTAAAAAACGAAAGCACAGTGAGGAGGTCGCGGCACATTGTGAGTGGGGCATAGTTGGAACTAATATAGATGATATCTGACAGTGATTAAAATTACTATCATAAGAAACGCTTCGATGCAAATCTTTAGATAGTGTTTAATTTTAAGAATTTGGTGGATTGTTCAAGAGCAAAATTCTAACTCAAAAAGAATTAAGGAAAAATTTCAAAAAAATCATTGCCAAAGGCAATGATTTTTAATGAATTGTCAAACGTTCGTCGTACTCGTCATTTGATAAAATTGGCAATTTAAGCTGATTCAAATATTAAAATTAATTTTGAAATCCACCCTGAGGGCTGGTGAAGGGTCAAATGTTCACAAAAATTATATCAAATGATAGGTAAATACCTAAGGTATCTATAAAAAAACCCAGCACCGGTGGCACAGTGGTGACGTGGCATTGTTGAATCAAGTATAATGATACCTGACAGTGATTAAAATCACTATCATAAAAAACGCTTCCATGCAAATTTTAAGATAGTGTTTAATTTTAAAAAATTGGTGGATTATTCCAAAAGCTACACGATCTGCTATTTTCTTATTAATATCCTGAATGAAAAAGGGGTTACTAAAAAATATTATTTCTCATAAAATAATTGTGTTGATCCATACACTTTTCAATAAGTTATAGTATTATAAAGTTAAAAATCTAAAAAATAAAATCAAGAATTTTCACACGAAAATAGCATTCAGTAGCCATTTTCACCACGAAGACAAGTCTAGAGGTCAAATTTTTTTTTTTCATAATAAAGTATATAACATTATCTTTAAATTAAGATATATATAAAAATGTCAGACTTTCCGGAACATATTCAAAAGTCAAGTTGAAAAAGTTAATTTTTTGTGAAAAAGTTGTCATTTTAAATCCCCCTGTAGGCAGGTAGAGGGTCAAATTTATAAAAAAAATATACCAAATGATAGGTAAAGACATCAAGCATCTATAAAAAAATATATATTTATTTGATCATTTTTGAAAAAATTATGGCATTTTTAAGTAAAAAAAATTGAAAAAATTTCTAAAATTAGCAATTTTTCAATTTGTAATTTTTTAGCTAAGATATTTACTGTAACCAAAATAAAATCGCATTCATTTTGTTTGTTAATTATTTTTTCTTTAATAATTTTTTGAAATGATGCATCTTTTTCAATAACTAAAATATACTTAGCATTAGTTTTCAAGTTTACAATTGATAAAATATCTTGAGGTATTTGAATACCTAAAACAGAAAATTATTTTAAATTTAATACCATACATTCTATTCATTATTTGGGTATGGTTAAATATAAATTAAATTTTTTTGATTGCTCCAAACATTTTTTCTCGCTTCACAAGTACCGAAAATTAACAAAAATAATTATCTATTAAATAAATGGATAAATCATAATTTTAAAGAATTCTTAGAAGAGATTTTTGAAGGGAGTAACCCTCTAAACCATCTCAAATTGTACCTATTCTATTAAATACAGTTAAAAAAATAACATTTTTTTCTTTAGGAGAAATAAATAAATGTTGATTAAGCAAATAGACAACTTAACTAATTATAATTAACTTAACTAATGTATAATTAAATTCTGAAGATTTCTACTCTATAATTTAAATTTTAACAAATAAAAAAATAAATAAATGTAAGCTACATTAAATGTAGTAAAAATAAATATGTAATATATTATATGTATAATTTATTTAAATATACATTTTATATAAGTACATATACAGAATTCTTTTATTATAAATCACTCAATCAAATAATAAAAGTATTATTGATATTTTTTTGGGTTTTTTTTAGATATATTTATTTCTTAATTTATTAACCACAAATTATTTTTATGTTCTTTCTTTATAGCTTATAAGTTTGTCAACTTTATTTTTTTCAAACAGCAACATAAATAATAAACTAACTTATTTTTTAGATTGTTATAATCAGGATGATAAATGGTCGAGAACAACTATAAGAAAAATATTTCAAAAGTGTAATGCCGAGAATTGTCAAGTGATAATAATACCTGCAATTTACCTCCAGTTATTACTTTAAATTGTTAATAACTTCTGAAATACTGATCATAAGTTGCTATAAATAAGCTACATAATTAAGTATGTTGCCATCTGAAAAGATAAAGTTGACACACTCTTTAGATATATGGGATGACTAAAAAATATATATCACTAAAAAATACAAAAAAAGTTATTAATATTATTTTTATTTTTCAATTATATTAGTAGTTAATGAACAAATACAAAGTGAAAAATAATTATTTTCATTAAAATAATAATAATCAATTATGAATAAATTTCAGAAAAATGTTGTACTTAATTAGTAAATTTGTTACCTTCAATCATTTTAGAACAATCTAAAATTTTGCCATCTTTCATATAGATTGATAAATTACCAGCTACTAAACCAGTTGATGATAGTTGTAACCCAAGGTTCCACGAAAAAGTATTAAGCAAACAACTAATATTAACTAGAGCTTTTCGAACATTATAATCATTTTCAAATAATTCTGTATTACCATAATATAATTCTCTATAAATTCAAGATTATTAAGAACAAAAATAAAAAATGTAAAATAGTTTTATTACCTCGTTGTAATCACATTATGATTAGATATGTTTTGATATATTTTTGATAAAACATAAATAATTATTGTAAAATTTCTTCTACTCTGTTTAGACTGGAAATGTAATTTATTCACATTGACATTATTTTTGTTTTTAAAACTATTCTTGGACCTATTAAATAATGTTTTAAAACATTACTAGAAACATCTTTAACAAAGCTAATAAGAAACTTGATATAGTTCAATAATAAGTATTTTAGTTAAACGGATATAAAACTTATTAAAGATGAAACAAAAAAAGAGATTTTTATAGTTACCAATTTGAACATTTTGTAAATTGAATCATAAATATTTTTTTACTTTTCAAGTGAGTAATCATTTCTAATATAACATTTTCTATTTTTTTTAATAGACTGGAATGTTTAATACTAAACGGCATATTTAAATAATTTTGAAAATGTAGAGCTCAAATTTATCCTTACTGAACGTCTATATACAATTTTAAAAGAAACAGAGTTAACACCAGTCTATACATAGACAAATATAGTTTACAAATATAGGTACTACAGGTTTGATGCTGTTATATTAATAGCATATTAATAACATGGTAATAATTATAACCACAGACTAAATTAAAACAGATAGGCCCGATAACAAAACAGTGCTTTGATTGGCAACAAAAATGTCAGTGCAACCAAATGAATAAGCGCGATTTTTTTTTAATTTTAAATTATTATAAAATATAATCTGTTGTAACATATTAATATTATTAAATTCCGTAAAAAAACAAGATCATCCAAATACTTCTTTAATACATAATTAAATTAAGGTATTAAACTTATAAACCCCCATTTAGCCAAAATTATTAACTTGGTTAAAAATGAACGAAACAAAATAATTTCTTTTTTTAATAAAACTTTAGGTATTTCCCTATAATTTGATATAAATTTAATTCAAAATCTGACCATTTGCTTGGTCGCAGAATGAGATTCAAAATAGCAACTTTTTCACAAAAGTCATTTTTTAGCTTCGATGCGAAGCTGAGAAGGTATTAATTTTACCATGATGTGTTTATTTTTTTTTTATTTTTATTTATTTATTTTTTTTTTTGTGCCTGTCACTACTTTTTCTCAGCTCTCACTGGACCGATTTCTTTTAACAATACGTCAAAAGATCACAAATTGTATCTAGTTGAAGATATTACCCTTAAAAATTTTAAAATTTTCCCTCGTTCCCCGCAAATGGGGGAAATATCCAAAAAAATTACAAATTTAAAAATCGACAAATTTTGTCATTTTTTTCACTTTTTTTTCTTAAAACTTCCATAACTTTTTCAAAAATCAACTAATCAACATAATTTTTTTTATACTAAAACCTTAGATATTTTCCTTTCATTTGATATCATTTTTTTGAAAATCTAACACTTAACCTGCTCATGGGGGGGGGATTTAAAATTGCAATTTTTTTACAAAAATTATTTTAAATTTTCAACTTAAAAATACTAAAACTTTTTGAAAAATGTATATATCAGCACAAATTTTTTTTTTCTAAATACATTATAAGTACATCTTTCATTTGACATACTTTTTATTAAAATTGGACAATTTCCCCTTATATAGGGGGCGTTCAAAACTTAAAATATTGTAAAAAACATAGATCTTTTTCAACTGAACTTTTGAAAATGTTCCGGAAATACTGCGTCCTTTAAACATATATCAAATCAAAGGTTATGTTATATACTATCAAATGAAAAAAAAAAATTTGTCCCGACATCTTATCTTCTATGTGCAAATGGCTGTCGAAAATTTAAAAAAAAATGTAATGTTTGCGATAAAAATTACATTTTATCGGGATGTTTTTTGTACTTAAAACTGCCATAACTTTTTCAAAAATGAACAAATAAAAATAATATTTTTTTGTATTGAAACCTTAGATATTTCCCTTTCATTTGATATAATTTTTTTTGAAAATCTAACACTTATTCTGCTCACTGGGAGGATTTAAAATAGTAACTTTTTTACAAAAAATAACTTTTTCAACTTAATTTTTGAAAATGTTCCGGAAATACTGCGTCCTTTAAACATATATCAAATTAAAGCTTATTTTATGTACTATAAAATGAAAAAAAAAAATTTGTCCCGACACTTTATCTTCTGCATGTAAACGGTTGCCGTAGTTAAAAAAACACTATTTTTGTGTTAAAATTTTCGATTTTCAATTTTTAATTTTCAACTTAAAAATGCTATAACTTTTCGAAAAATGTATGTATCAGTACAAATTTTTTTTTTTCTAAATATATTATAAGTACATCTTTCATTTGACATACATTTTATTAAAATTAGACAATTTCCCCTTATATAGGGGGGGTTAAAACATTGAAACATTGTATAAAAAGTAGAACTTTTTCAACTGAACTTTTGAAAATGTTCCGGAAATACTGCGTCCTTTAAACATATATCAAATTAAAGTTTTTTTTATGTACTATAAAATGAAAAAAAAAAATTTGTCCCGACACCTTATCTTCTATGTGCAAATGGCTGTCGAAATTATAAAAAAAATGTAATGTTTACGATAAAAATCACCTTCTATCGGAATTTTTTTTGTATTTAAAACTCTCATAACTTTTTCATATATTAACTAATCAAAATAATATTTCTTTATATTGAAACCTTAGATATTTTCCTTTCATTTGATATCATTTTTTTGAAAATCTAACACTTAACCTGCTCATGGGGGGGGGATTTAAATGGCAACTTTTTTACAAAAATTAATTTTTTCAACTTAATTTTTNAGCAATTTTTTTACAAAAACTAACTTTTTCAATTAATTTTTGAAAATGTTTCGGAAATACTGCGTCCTTTAAACATATATCAAATTAAAGCATATTTTATGTACTATAAAATGAAAAAAAAAATTTGTCCCGACACTTTTTTTTCTACATTTAAACGGCTGCCGTAGTTAAAAAAACACTATTTTTGTGTTAAAATTTTCGATTTTCAATTTTTAATTTTCAACTTAAAAATGCTATAACTTTTCGAAAAATGCATGTATCAGCACAATTTTTTTTTTTCTAAATACATTATAAGTACATCTTCCATTTGACATACTTTTTATTAAAATTAGACAATTTCCCCTTATATAGGGGGGGTTCAAACTTTGAAACATTGTATAAAAAATAGAACTTTTTCAACTAAACTTTTGAAAATGTTCCGGAAATACTGCGTCCTTTAAACATATATCAAATTAAAGTTTTTTTTATGTACTATAAAATGAAAAAAAAAAATTTGTCCCGACACCTTATCTTCTATGTGCAAATGGCTGTCGAAATTATAAAAAAAATGTAATGTTTACGATAAAAATCACCTTCTATCGGAATGTTTTTTGTACTTAAAACTGCCATAACTTTTTCAAATATTAACTAATCAAAATAATATTTCTTTATATTGAAACCTTAGGTAATTTTCTTTCATTTTATATCATTTTTTTTTGAAAATCTAACACTTATTCTGCTCACAGGGGGGATTTAAAATAGCAACTTTTTTACAAAAACTAACTTTTTCAACTTAATTTTTGAAAATGTTCCGGATATACTGCGTCCTTTAAACATAAATCAAATTAAAGATTATTTTATGTACTACTAAATGAAAAAAAAAAATTTGTCCCGACGACCTATCTTCTATGCGCAAAAGGCTACCGTATTTAAAAATATGCTATTTTTTATTAAAATTCTGGGTTTTGAATTTTATTTTATTTTAAAATATTTTATTAGGGGAATAAACTGACTTTCATGAATATTATATAATTTAATTGACATAGAATAAAGTTCATAAGACATATATTTTAAACTTATTAAAATTTTTTTACTTTTTTAAAGTCGAAAAAGTAATTTTTAAATTTGAGTTAGCTTAAATAGCCAATTTTATCATGNTAAATTTGAGTTAGCTTAAATAGCCAATTTTTTCATATAGCAAAAGCAACGAACAGTTGCCGAATGGGTAACACTTGTATCTTACACGCTTAGGGTACGAGGTTCAATAAAAATCTAAATAAAAAAAAAATTTACTGATTTGGTCATTTTTGATAAAGTTATAACAATTAACAAAGTTAACTTATAAGTTTTATACACTGGACTACAAGGAACTTCCATTAGGAACAAAAATATACTTTTCTAAATCAACTTTTCGCGATGTTTTCAAATGTGCAATTAAACTTTTTCTATTACTTCTAAGTTTTAATATTATTACTTATTATTAAAAAATAAGTATTTACATAAAAAAAAAAAAAATAATTAAGAACAAAAAAATTGTTTTAAATTAATACTGATTTTGATTATTATTATGTTAAAAATAAGGAAAATTACATATTGAACCTATTTTTTTAATCGTTTAAAGTTGATTTTTGTGAATGTTTATATTAAAAGAAATTAATTTATTTTACCATAACTTTTAGCTCAATTGGCAAGTTTGAATTTGACATAATTAAATAGATAATTTTATGAAAATTAAAAAAAATTGTATCGTTAAGATTAAAGTTAGGAAGTTTTATAAATACTATTTATAGTAAATTTATCGGAGTAGCTCAATATTTTTTTGCATTTTTATGGTAACAGATAACTTAAATAGAAGTATTAGTAATAATTTCCTAGTAACTTTTGGTGTTTGAAAAGATTCTGCAATTGAAATATTCAGAAGTTAATTAATTTTAATGATTTACTTTAACTAAATGAACCAATCAAAAAACAAAAAATTTTTAAAAGATCTACTCAATAAAGCGTATTATAAAATTTGATTATAATTATAAAAATCCATTGTTAATTCAGGAGAAATTAACAATCTTTTTTTTTTAGAAATGATTTATATAGCAACATGTTACAAAAAAATTTGGAATATTATAGTCTAGTAGTAGCACACACAAATAGAGTTAAAAAAATTATTAAATTACAAAGTAAAATGATTTCATATTGTAGTTGAAACCTATCATTTCAAACTTCATTCGTTAATAAATATTTTGAAAACATTAGAAATGAATGATTTTAATTGTCTGTATGGAGAATATGGGATAAGTAACTGTTTAATTGATAAATTAGAATTTTTATTTCAATTTTTGAGGGTAATATCTTCAACTAAATACGAATTGTAGTCATTTGACGTATCGATGAAAAAAATAGGTCAAGTTAGAGCAGAGAAAATAAATGATAGTCACAAAAAAATATCTTCTCAACTTTACATCGAAACTAAAACTTAAAATATAGTAAAATAATTTTAATACGAATAAAAAATTTCTTCTCGCGAGTGGCGACTACAGTGATGGGATCCTTGATCTTTATTAAAGTTATTGAATCTAAATGAGATAAAAATTAAAGGACTTAAAAATTTATATTAACTTAAAAAAAATTAAGAAAAAATGCAAAAAATTCATTGCCATACGAGGGTTGGAACCTCGTACCCCAAACGTGTAAAACATAACTTCTACCAACTCGTCGCTCCCATTACTTGAAAAAATTGGCTATTTAAGCTAGTTTAAATTTCAAAGTTATTTTTCTCCACTTAAAAGATGCAAACAAATTTAAATAAGTTTAACTTTCTATGCTATATTAATTTTTAGCTTCGATGCGAAGCTGAGAAGGTATTGGTTTTACTAAGATGTGTTTATTATTTTTTTTTTTTTAAGTTATTTTTTTATGTCTGTTATTACTTTTTCTTAGCTCTCACCGAACCGATTTCTTTCAATGATACGTCAAAAGATCACAAATCGTATCTAGTGGAAGACGTTACCCTCAAAAATTGAAAAAAATTTCCCTCGTTCCC